CATTACTAAGCATCCAAATACCAACTCAAAATAAATATCTTACCATTACTACTATTTTGATTTTTAAAACTATAGGGATTATTAGACAGTACTTTAGATGGGAAAATGTTAAATTTATATATGCATTTACATAATTAAATTGATCAATAAAGATGAAAAACGTTTTTTTTCATACGCATTCTTCTGTCAGTAAATTTTAACAAAAATGACTAACCAAATTAGAAAGACATCCCATGGATAGAGTTATGTTATTTACTACTGCCAAAAACATTAGTGATTGGTAGTATAATTGAGTTTGCAGTATATATATATATATATATAAAATTGAGAAAATATATTTCAATTTTTAAGTGTAAAATGAAACTATTGAAAAATGTTTAGATAAAGGTAAGTAAAATATTTATAAATAATTTCTTTAAAGAATTGCTTGTTATGAATGGTTTAAAAGTTATTCATTTCAACTTCCTTTTTGAAATCTATCTTGCAAAGACAAAATCAAAAAATAAAATTTGAATGAGAAAATTCAGGAGCAAAATATTTAATTCATGGCCTTTCCTACAAATAAAAACAAGTATTTATGAACATGTTATAAAATAACATGTGCACAGCAAAGATCTCTTACTGGTTCTATTTTATGAAAATAAAATTAAAAATGCAAATTATAAAAATTTGCTGCTTTTCAGTGTAATAACCTCAAAATAATACAACTTACACAACAAAATATTTCTTAAAGCATTCTAACTTGTGCTTTTGCTTGATAATGTTGCATGCAAAAAGTAATTATATATAACTATACAATATACAAGGGAGTACCGAGTAATTATCAGCCTAAGTCACTTCCAAAATGATTCTAACATTTCATCATTTAAATACTAAATATGAGAATTATGTTTGACAGGGAACTTTTCAGCATTTTCTTACACTATGCAAGAGTGATAACTAAAATTAAGAAAAGAGCTGACTAGCACTAATGTACGAGACAAAATGTAAATCGACATTCTTTAAAATTAATAAAATATTTCGGAAGAATAAATCAAGCATAATCAAGTCTGAAGTTACCCTCAAATTAAAAAAATGCAAATCCAACTGAAGATTTTTTTTTCTTGAAGTGGGTTATTAACTTAGTATATTATAGAGAGGTAAAGTGGAATTGTAGACACATGGTACTTAAACATTTATATTAATGTACACAAAAAATTTTGTAATACATAAAAGGTAAATATTGATTTCTTATTCACAATTAGACTTGCACATTTTATACAGTTTTATTTGGTTTAGGTTAAAAAAAAAAAAAATCCACTAAAAAAATTAATATCAATGAAAGACAAAAAAAACAGTAAACAGTAATCATATTTTGGGTTAGATTGTTATATCTAGAGTTATGGTATACCTTGTTTGCATTGTATACAAACCTTTATCGATATTATAAGACTGTTCTGTATCCGTAATTGGTGCATTAGATATTATCAACTGAGTTTTCAAAAGTAAACTGGTGCATATATCAATATTTTTGATGTACCTAATAATGGAAACTTTCAAGCTGAAATTTACCCAGACAACGGATGCTAAATAATAATAATAATAAAAAAAAAAAAAAAAAAAAAAAAAAGTTCTATATGGATCAATTTTGTAGTTATGAAAAATCCCTGATGACTAATTTGTTATAGAAAAATGTTTATTTTAGTTGGTTTTTTTTATAAAAATCACAATATATTAAGTGCAGAGCTGATAACAAATAAAAATGAAAAAGTACAGAACTGAAAATGCAAAATTCTTCCACAGTTGAATTTGACAAATTGATGTCTGATTTCAAATGTCAAATCTTTTCATCTGTCAGAAGGATTTTAACTTGACTCTATACAAGAATGACATACAATGCATTCATACAGTTGGACTAACAGAAATACAAATCCTGACATATGAAGGTCTTTTTATATATATATATATTATACAAAGAAAAAAAACAAATGCATACGAAAGTCATTTTATATAAAGAAAAAATATTTATACTCCTGAATATCATATATATATATATATATATATATATATATATATATATATATATATATATATATATATATATATGTGTGTGTGTGTGTGTGTGTGTGTGTAAGACTCATTCTCATTTATAAAAATTTTTCTATAAAAATTGCATAAATAAATATATGTATACATGTATATTACAAATTTACCTTTGTTTTGCTTTTACTTATCTTGTTTTAATTTAAATGGAATATGTAATGAAAATATCACCACCATAATTATGTGTACAATGGAGATCTTAAAAAATGTTTATAAATATAATAAAAGTGTAAATATAAAAGTTAATGGAATATATTTGATTTCATTGCAATCATATGCACAACTAACAGCACAAGAATTAGTTTTCACAGGTCTATTTTCAATACAGCTGATATAAAATTTATCAGACTCTTAAAAGAATTTTATGTCTTAATTGCTTCTATGCAGGCAGGTAGTTATTTTGAACACTTTCTGAAAATCTATGCACCCCTTTAGAATATATGTTAAAAAATAAAAAAGCATCATATTTCCTCTTGTAGTTTCAACCTGCCAAGCCTTGTAAAGAGAATGAATTACGATCCTAAATGTACACAGTTCTATATCTGACATGAATGTAATTATATATTATAGTTTAATAGTAGCAGCACTTATGGAATATCACATGGAATTATTAACTGCTAGTGCTCTGCTCAGAAGACTATATATTGATCAATAGCTTCAGAAAAATATATTTGACTAAAAATTAAAACAAAATAAGACCAATACATTTATAATTAACTGTTCTAAATGATTTATGCTTGCATAAAGAATTTTGATAGCCTACAAAACGGTTGTAAAATATTGACAAACACTTAGAGATAAAAAAAAAAAAAAACTGTACAATTAAGTTTTTCTAAATATTTATTCATACATAGGTACGATAAAAAGTTAAATAATTTAGATGATAAAGAAAAGGATTCAAGGTTTGGATGAATGTGATAGCTTTTGAGGGAAAAGAAGATTTGACAAAATTTGAAAATTTTCAATGTTTGTTTTTTTTTTTTTTGGAAAAAATAAATAGAATTAAATGAAAAATTATCAGTCATATTTGTCTTTATCTTTATGTTGCTGTTGTATTTTTTTTTTTATTTAAAATTCTCTTTATGTGAATGAATGGAAATTTATTTCATTTTACTATATATTTTTTTTCACTATATATTCTTTGACATATGTAGTAAAATATCACTATGACATCATACTGATGTATTTGTACCAAAATAATGTTAGTAGGAAATACTGTGACGTCTCAACATTACATAGAAAACGCCACCAAACAGACGTGGGGTGGGGACAAAAAGAAAAAAATGACACCTTTATAAACTCACCAATTTCTATAAAAAATCATTACTATAATATACAGTGTCTCTTTCAAATATATATTAGAAAACAAAACGTTTTAAGACTCAATATGAAATACAGTTTTAAACCGTTTTATTCTTAATTTTTTGATGATGTATAATGACAAATGTGGCTTGCCATCACTTTCCATTTCATTTCTATGTACATGTGAAATTCCTTCAATCTCTCTTGAACTAAAAACAAAATGTAAAATGGACAAAAAAAATTACCCTATTCAGTTTTGATATTTTTGAAAAAGGAAAAATTTTAAATAAAATTTGGGGGATGGAGATTAACAGTAAATATAATAATGAAATTTCATTTCTGAGAGAGAGAAAGCGAGAAAGAGAAAGAGTGTGAGAGAGAGAGAGAGAGAGAATTAAATTTTGTTTTGAGTCCTTAAAAAGCTTGGAGAAAGAGTTTAAAACAGCCAGTGTTTCTTCAGTCATACATAATGTTTTGTATTAAAGAAAGAAAAAAAACTCCATTCATTTTCATGCACTCATAGCCTGTACATATGTGTATTGGCATATATTCTAATAACATATTGAAGGGAAGGATTGTTAGCTTCTGTTCAGTTCTTGGCTTTTGCTGCATGTGAGTGTATTATACAGCAAAAGATTTTACGTTTTTATGTAATGTTGAAATAGTTCCTTGATCGCTCTTTGATCTTTTATAAAACATGAAAATTGTTTTTTTTTTCATCTTTAGACACAAGTCATCTACTAAATAATACTTAGTCTCTATTCATCAGCATGTTTTTCTTTAAAATTTATGATATTCCTTCATCAAGAATTTTAAAATCTGATGTGGATCATTTGATTCTCATTCTTTATTCAAACTATTCTTTCTCCAGCTGCCCTGTTTTTTTTTTATGAGTCATTCATGTACCAGACTGGGACATATATATATATATATATATATATATACACACACACACACACTCGCATATAATCTAAGAACTTTCATACAGTCTACCTCACATAAGCATATGCAAGTCATTTTTATTTATGTGTATTGATTTGTAGAGATACACATAGTACAGATACACACGTTTACATTCCTTTGATATTAAAAATGTTCATGGTCAGCATTAAAAGAATTCATTTTTTCCTGTTAAAAACTGTTTTCTGACCAAAAACGTGTTGGTTTTCTGTTAATATTTTGATTAACTGTCTCTGCACCTCCACTACAACCACCACCACCATTTTTTACTTTCTTCATTAAATCCAGTTTTAATACATTCCATCAAAAATAGTACGCATCCAGAAATTTCCCGTTTAGATGACTTCAATTTTCGCCTGAATTTACAAGCATAAAAGCAGTTCATTTTGTGGAATATTTCCTAGTGAATGCCTGCTTCCTGAAGTCTAAAGATTTGGTTTCTCATTGTCGTTCACTTCATTTCTGGTTGGCTTTGCTGGAAAATGGATGAGTGGGGAGGTACTGAGGTGACCGAGAAGAAACTAAGTGTAATCCTACATTCATTGTATGGCCATATAAGGCCAATTAAATGAGCCTCCACTGAGCAGCATGTCTCTGATTAATGTCTCAATCGGTGTTTTGCCCACCAAGCGTACAAAAAACAATTGTTCAATTACTTGAGCGCTCACTGTACGCAAAGATGGCAACCGGAGCAGCAATTTTCCAAAGCGTGTTGGCTGATTTGGGTATTGACTCCGGACATATTCCTCGAGAGCACATTGGGATTTTTCTTGTAGGCCTTCAATGTGAGCCACGTCTGAAAGTCCACAAGCATCTGCAAATAAAGAAAATATAGTTGTAAGTGATTTTGCATTTGAAATTTTCAGGACAGTTAAGTAATGAAACTTAAAAAAATACTTTATGCACATACAGCAAAAAAAAAAAAAAAATTGGTTTAATACAAGTGAATAAAACTATTTAATAAAAGTAAAGTGAATGCAAATTGCAAAAAGGTTCTTAATTTTTTTTCCCTTTAAATAAAAAAAATAATCCCTTTCTCAACAGAACCATATACCAAAAGTTTTGGAAAACAAGAACATGGTATTATGACAAATCTGGTGAAAGTGAGAAACAACTGGAGCACTTAGGAAATTTAAACAATTCTTTTTTCTAAAGGAATAATAAATTTAAAATATTTCATATATATATAATTTGAAATTAAAACAAATAGCGATAGAAATTCTCCATAAAACAAAAATCATACAATTTACAGTTATAAAATAATTCTGATTATTTGCAGCAACAAGCCAAAATATAATCTTGATGCAAACTGAAAAAGAAGCTGATTAGCGAGCAATAACAATTTAGAATTTTGGGTCAATTTTTAAAAGGGAAGCTTTGTAGAAGTGATAATTTTACATCAAAACTAGAAATATTTATAATCAATTCTCCATAATCAAATTCAATAGATGGCCCTTTTTTAAGTTGAATTTGTGACTCCTTGTGACAGAAACGTGATGAAGAAAAGGTAATATTGAGATTTCAATTATATTAACAATAGGAACAGAATTTATACTGATGCAACATTTGCGCGCGCGCGTGCGTGCACGCGCACATAAAATTGCAAGTTCTTCCCAGACACTTCAAAAAATTATATTTAATTTGCATACATATAAAGTTTAAGTTAGTGGTCGATTTAAACTCACAAAAGGTGCAAGTGACGCAGCCTTCATTTGTAAATATTCTGATCTAGCTGTCTGCGTATTCATTGTTAAAAAAAAAAAAAAAAAAAAAAAAAAACCGTTCCTCTTTCCCCAAGAAAACTGTTCATTTTAGACAATCATGTGAAATCGATACAAGTTGACTAATACAACAACTAATGGTAATCTAGATTAACCTGGAAATTAAAATACTAAAAAGAAATTAGATTATATTTCAATTCTCCAATCGCCCAGGATGTTTCAGACTTCGTTAAATGTGCACATTGAAAACAATCTTATTTTTTGTCTAAATATTTTATTAACCTAAAATCCAAATTATACAGTATAAGTTCCCAATCAGACACTTTGTTACTATCACTTGACAAGCTGTCGATTTTCTGATTTGATAAAAAAGTAAATCAAATCAGATTTCTCAACTAAATTTTTGAGTGGAATTAACGATAAAAAAGCGGGAATAAAGTAAACAGGTTATGTAACTTCCTAGGTTTAATGGGAGGAAAGTTTTAAAGGGTGGAGGAATATGAATTTTTAATTATTGCTGAATGAAGCAATAATGAAAGCAAATGATTAAATCTTTAGTTGAGTCGTGAACAAATCAAAATGACATGAAAAATGCAGTAAAACGTAATGTAAGAGAAATGTTCTGGTTTGAGTGAAATCAGATTATGTTGAATCTTAACTTCATGAATCTGAATAAAATCTAACTTTTGTTTTGAATATCTGCAGAAAAATATTCTCACCAATAAAAACAATAGTTTGCTTCTCTTTGGAAATTTCCACATTTTACTAGATTGTATTTTTCTATAGAAAATATGCAGTTCATAATGTATTTATGTTTACCTAAACCTGTGTCAAAAGTTTTTTTAACGGATCTGTCTATAGATTCTTATGTTGGACAATGCAAAAATTCGTTATTAGCCTGGATTCATAAAGAAACAAAAAAGAATTAAGTCAATACGAATGGATTTCGAAACTTGCATGCGAGAAGGCAAATATTCTTTTTAATTGCAAGTCAAAGCAAAAAGGAGGAAGTCTGCGTGAGTTTTTATATAATCAAAGGAAAATGCAGCGAAAATAAATGACACTGGTGTGTAGTAAAGAAAAACATCCTGGCTCACAGCAATTTTAGCTAGTTTTCATGTCAAGTAATTTGTATTTTCTGTGATTGCCTTTAGAATGACATGTATTATTAGACAAAAACAAGAGGCAGACAAGTGAAAACGAAAACGTACGACATCACAACTAGCAACCAAACTGACCAAATGTTGAACTTACTGAAATATAGATTCTTCCTATAATAAACGCTGAAAAGTTAAACGTTATTGATAACAGTATTTTATCGACTATTTTCAATTTAATCCAATTTTTTTCATGCCAAATCTAATTTGTTATTATTAGAAAAGGCAAATTGTTTTAGGCAATAAACCTCGGGAGGTTACTATGATGAGATCGTAAAATATTAGTCATGTAAATTGATGACATATCTAATTTGACAAATTGTAGTATTTACAAAAATAAAAAGGTCAAATGCACACAAATCATAAAAAAAACATTATTCAGTTTATCCTACTCATTAATTTACAATAACGTGGCAGCCAATTGAGGTAAACTAAATCTACATCGAAATGATTAAACTCATAATTGTTACAACTCCACGTCACATTGCAACAAACTATATTCAAGCTATATGGCTTGATGTTTCGGTCAAATTTAAATTATTAGATTTATATCTTCAGTGGAGGTAGAGAACGGTTTTACTTTAAAATTATGAAACGAGAATAAATCGAATATGAATTGAAAATAATATCGAAAACGTGATTTGGATAAATTCCTAAACATAAAGCAAACAAATATAGGTACAAACAAATACAACACACACAACATTTTACAACATCAATTTGTTACAACAAAAATACGTTAATAACAAAAAAAGATTTTCCAAAAGTTATTAGATTATTATGCATTAAGCTGTTATGGTCTTAACCTGCTTTTTTCTAAATTGCTAACAAAAATATTCAAAACGATTTAAACTGAATTTGTAAATATATGAATTATGTCGGCTAATACCTTTCACTTTTAAATAAAATCTACTCTCATATTACAACTTGCAACTACTAAAAACATGTTTAGATTATATAAACAGACTAAGTGTTTTGCTCGCAATATGCTTCAGCCTATTAGTAAAATGTTCTATAAGCAAATTAAAACTAATGCGCAACACAAGATATGTCAAAGACGCATAAAATAAAAGCTACGATTAAGGTTTTGAGAGTATCAGAGTTTTAAAATACAAATAAAAATAAGATTAATTTGCTGTTTGGGGTTTCTTAGAAATTATTTGAAGTTTTGGGATGATAGAGAAAAATCGGGAACAATGAAATTGATACTTGAAATAATCTAACATACCTTTCCAAAAGGTTGACTGTCTGTCTGACTGTCTGTCTGACGGTGTCCTCAGATCTAGATAGATAGAAATATTGCAATATACATACTAGCGAGAAAAATTGAATCATAATTTATAGAGAATATATGCGCGGAAACAAACAGTATATTAAACCAATATTTATATGAAATCAATCGAGAGTTTAGTATATAATCCGTTGTATTGGGTTTCTTTGTTTTTATTCTTTGCAAATATATAGTAATTTCTTTGGACTATCTGACTAAAGAATGTTTCTTTTGAAAAGTCTTATCAGACAGGAAAACTAGTAATTCTAATCTGAATTTGATACTGACTTGGATCACTTTAATTATGCAAGTTGTTTCAGTCATTAGTTGTTTCGATGTCTCTAAATACACACTTTAAAATAAACGAGGTAACACGATACATCCTGATAGTTTAATTGCAAAATACTGTGAGGGACACTTAAAATAGTTTTCATTGTTTAATAGCATATACACTGACCTTAAAATTATTGGAAAAACGTGTATATACGCAATGTACCTTGAATATTTTAGACTACATTTTTAAAATCGCATGTATGCTAAGAAATGATTAGCAATTAGATATCCCAAATGCCTAAAATATTCCTTAAAATCTAAAAACAGGCAATGGAAATGTTTTCTTGACTCGAGGAGAATAGACATACTTTTGCTAAAAGGTATATTTTAATTTGTATTTCGATGTTAAAACTTTTTTTCAAGAAAATACTAAAAGCTGGCATTTTGATAAGCCAACGTAGACAAGAATAAATGCACAAAATGGGGTTAAGCAATAAAGGACATGCTAAAAGATGAATCCAATTGTAAATTTTACCTAAAATGAATAAGATGACTTCAAATAAGAATTATACAAATATATTTGCCAATATAAAACGATTAAAATTCTTAACCCATTCTTTTTACGTTTCAAGTCAACACTCGTTACATTTGTTACAGTATTAACTCATTGACTGTATCAGCAGCTATTTCACAAGTCACAATCAATTGTTTTCATTTAACAAGGTGTAGATAGACAAGAAATATTACAATATTGAACCTCTGTCAAAAGAAAAGAAAAAGCAGCCAACTGAGAATAGCTTCTGATAAAGATCAGCATTTGTTTTAAAATAAGACAAACATTGGTGATCCGAAAACAACATAAATGCATCTGCAAATATTTGACTCTTATAGACCCCTAACACGAATGGAGAGACAACGGCAATTGTTAATTTCTTTATACGTAAATCTTCAGTTATTCAGTACTGTTGAGAATCTTAGAAATAAGACAGATCTAATGTAAGTGAATGCATGTTCCAAGCTGTACGCCAGTTTTTCAAATTACAAGTTGAAATTTGGCATATGGACACATCTTTTCAACTGAAACGTTAGAGGCTATATGATTTCCTCCTTTGTATACGAGTGAAAATTGTTTATAAACACTAAGTTGTTTATTTTTATATATTTCGTCTTATAATTCAAGGGAAATAATTCATTTTTTTCTTATACTAAACTGCAGTGAAAATTGTTTAAGTAATAATCCATTAACGCATTTGTTATATAAGTAAGTGTATAACTTAGGAGGATTAAACTTAACATCTGGAGAAAACCTTTCCAGACGCGAAGCATTTTTCTAATACTGTACATTAGTGGGACAAATGTTTTGCTTATTGAAACAATTTATCTAGATTTAAATTGTGACTTCTTTCAGGAAAAAAAGCGAACAATCAAATCGATGTTGGTTTTTTTTTTTTTCAATTTTTGCAGGTCACTTCGATTATGCAGGTATCTTAAATGCGTGTTCGTTAATATGTATTCGTGAATTATATTAAAATGTAAAGCTCTTCTAACCGGTATATTACGTATTTTATTTAGCAGTATCTAGCTGTTAAATTATGGCAAATACGGAAATCCGAATATAATGCAGCAACTTTATGCATACCCATTTAATATTTTCTATTTTATGTTTTGCCGAATTTTATAGAACGTAAAATAGAACTCTTTTGTTGTTTGGTTTAAGTCAACATTGCCGGATCAAGTGATGTTTGTCATCACTTTTGTAAAGCAAATGATACAAACTGATGCGATTGCATATATTTCAAATATTTATTAAGCCAAACAAATCAGAGTTCTTAGTCTTATTGAAACTTGCAGTGAATACACGAGAAGCAAGAACATTTTTAATAAAGGTTCTTGAGACATTTTCAGAAGTAGATCAATTCTGTTCAGTCTGCATAAATAAAAGCTGTTGTCTGAATTACTTACCATGATCAATAAATGAGCTTCAAGGCGACGTTTAATTTCCCAAAATAATGTCCTACCGAAACACCCGAAAATGATATCGATTGAAACCTTTTATACAATTGCTTTAACAAGCATTTAAATATTTCTAAACAGATAAAAACATGCATTGACATTTTGTTTGCAGTAATTTAAATTATCAAGCTATTTTCTGACTTTGTAAACCATTTTCTTTTACACACACAGATATACGAGAGAAAAGTTAAAAACATGCTGTTGGTGATCCCTACAGATGGACAAATTTTCAGTTTTTATTTTTATCCATAATGCCCACGCTTATGGGTAATGACATTTTTTTCAACCAACTGAATATCGATTCCGTAGCAGACAGTAATATTATACTTTCACACACATATATATGATGCGTGTGTAATCGCACGTGCATGTAGCAGTAGTAAAAAAAAAAGCAGGAAAATTTTATGCGATATCAAAGACAACGCCAGGATTAAGAGTCTTGTTTATAAAGTTTTCATCATGTCATTATGATACTCAATGTCTGATTTCGGCTAACAATTTAATCTGAGCAACTTGTTTAGATTTGTATAGTTAATGCGGCAATCTGTTTTATGCCATTTTAACCAATATATTGACAGAGTGCTCATTTAGCAATGAATGTGAATAAATACTGATTGGACGGAACTTTACTCAAATTATTTTGCCAATTGAAACCAAGGTAAAAACAAGTATCAAAATGTCTATTGAAAATGACAAGGAAGTAATTATCCACGATCGCCGGCTATGTTCCACTTCTTGCAAGAGAAAAACATCCGAGTGGATGTGGAACATTTTTCACGAAACTAATGAGACAAATTGTTAAATTTGAGTTTCCTTGAAATGTATACATGATTGTTACAACTGAAATAACTAAAAAATTGACTCAGTATGCAGGAATATAATTTGAAAATTACTTCTCTTGATCAATGAATTTAATATTTTGCTGTATAACGGCTCCATAAATTTTACACTAAAGTTTTAGATTGCGACAAGAATCATATGGATAAGAGTTATTTGCAGAGTAGGATGAACCCCTATAACTTAAAAGTGATTACAAAAAGATATTTCAGTTGACTTTATTATATTGAAGTCCATGGTCTTTGTTTTCTTTTTAATTTAAAACAAAATAAAGTCGGTAATAGATATCTGACGTGGTATTAAAAATAGGCTCACATGTGATTTTGAATGAAAACTTCCCAATAAAAACAAATGGTTAGATAATAAAACTGTTTAATATAGACACGCATTACTGTATTTACCAATATTATCCATAGAACAGCAATGCCGACACTTCACCATTTTTCCTATTCTTTTTAGCAATCAGCGTGAACAGAATGAATGAAGTTCGCGTAATGTATCCAAATTTTTTAAAAGATTAAAAATCCGATTGCTTAACAGAAAACAATGAGCAATAGCAATGTTTTTTTCAAGCGTTAAGCTGTGATTTGTTCATTTAACATTAGATATCGCAGAGCTCTTATTATTTTCATTAACTTGTTAATACCACTCGCATTACTATCATTTTGAAGATGTGCTTCTATGCTGATACATCTCAGTAGATTTCTTTTATTTGAAAATATACTTTGACCCCATCACTTTCAGCAACTTTTGGAATATTGATCTTGAATTTTGCAGTCAACAACTTGGTTTTATGTAACATTTAAAATCGACAATCCTCTAAAACATTCAGGTGAGACAATATACCAATGGATGAGGCTTAATCTATTTTTGCGTCATAAACCAACTTCCATTATTCAGGATAATGTTCTTGTTTCTCAAAATACAATTTATTGTTCAATATCCAGTCCTCTTATCCTTGGGTTTACGATACATTACAAGTATGGGATTTGCATTTTCCATTAATTTTGCTTTTGAAAGTGTTAGAAAACAAACATGTTGCATTAATACAAATTGCTTTAACGGGATTAGAAAATGCAATTTTGTTAGTTTATAGAATGACACACTTATTGTGACATCCTGAACTCATTTAAAATAGACATGTTAAATCAGGATTTTTTTTAATTTTCGTCATACTCTTGGTAAAACCTTCAGCAATGCGAAAACGCTGTCATTTTCCAACATGCGCACAATGTTGAATGGACAGTGTCCTTGAAAGTCATATTTTAAAATGATCATATAGAAGTAATTCAGATCTTGGAAAAATCGAACAATAATTATCAGCAATAATGATTATTCAGATGATCTCAATGAAACATCACTTTAAAATCTGAGCTGCCAAGTATATTGACCCAGAGGAAACTAGTATGACAGATTGTCGAAACGTTCTCGGTGTCCTAACCAAAAATAATGATCTAAGATTCATAAAATGTTGCATGGTATTTCACATTCAACCTGCAGTTTAACACAGCTTGCACAGTTTCTCAGGTTTTCTTAAACTTAAAAAGATGCAGTCATTGAAATACTGATTTTGAGTCTGGCTGAGAATATTTCAGCTCACTTTTGTAACAAAATATCTAAATAATACGTATGCATCTTTAGAATTTATATAAGAAATGACAACTACCTTGTTTCCGGAATTAGCTGTAAAAATAAATTTTATATTCTTCACTGAATATTGTTCATCAAATTATTAATAGATATGAACTTAAGAGGTTAAAGAGATTGAACTTAAGCTGTTAATTCTTGAATATTATCTTTTCACTTCTCATGCTTTTCGTGAGAAATCCTATGTATTCTCAAAAAACAATTTGGTTACCGAGATCAACATAAGCACACACGAAGAGAAT